TGGCTGCTACCCATAGCTCCCAACCCTAGAGCTTTACCTAGAGGTATAGGTTTTGAACAGTTGCCCTCCTTCATTTAATCTGTGGATCCAGAAAGCCTGTGTGCCTGGCCCCTCTCACTTTACATTCTCAGGCATCATCCTTATGTTCTAGACTGTGCTCACCCAGCACTTTCCATCTCCATTATTTGGGGTGAGGATCAATCTTTACCTTAGTTCTTTATGAACTTACTTACACATTTTTCATAATTCCCATTTATATGTAATTCTTACACTGATATTTGCAAAAGGTGTACTTTCTACAAATGCATATTGCAGCAGATTATTGTCAGATGTTTTAGATGGGCAACTGTGAGACTCTGGGAAGGGAAGTGGCTTGTCCTCTTTCAGCTGACACTCCCAAGGGCAGTTCCTGGGCCTGACAATAAGCCTTTGCCTGGAATGGCACCCTTTCCAGAGGTCCAGGGGACTCTTTATTAAAGATCTCATTTTTATGTCATGCTTCATAGAATGCAGATTCCACATAGTTATTTCTCAATCATTTGATTCAACTTTCCCCCTAAGAGGATTGTATCTTTAATCACTTAAGGATAGCTATTACACGAGACTTGAGTAAAATGAAGCTAAAGAGACTCCTGACTGAAAGCTAGAATTGCAAATACTTAAAACCTCTTCCAATGATATATGCCTGTGCGTGTCTGAGGTCCTGGATTCCTTCCTTAACACCACAAAAGTGAGTGAACAAAAACAAAATTTGTACTTTAACTTTTATGAGATTATGACTCCTTTCAGATCTCAGTACTTGCTGATTCAAAACAGTTATTACCTCTTTACTTAAGGGTGTTTATTCATCTTATTAAAAATTATGCGGAGTTAGAGAGATGGCTTAGTTAACAGCACTCCGTTGCAGAAAACCCAGGGTCATTCCCAGAATCCACATTTTGCAGGGGCTCCATCACTCTCTTCTGGAGTCTTGGGTGCCAGACATGGTGCACAGGTATGTATGTATGCATGCATGTATGTATGTATGTATGTATGTATGTATGTATGTATGTATGTTTGTATGTATGTATACATATATATACTCATACACATGAAATAATAAAAATGTCTTTAGAAACCATGTCTTTTTGTTGTAACAATATTCACACTTCATAATACACAAACATAAGACTATAAGATGAGTCAGTGTAATTTAATTATGTGATAGGTCAACTTGTAATCATTTTCTTTTTTAGCTTTGAGGCTTTGCTTGCCATGACTATAGACTCAATCTTTAATGTAGGTGTGCAGCAACCTTAAGTGATGCACACACAAATATACTTTATGATAAATTTTAACACCCAGGAGCCACTAATTTATATCCTTACTGATGAATTATATTTTATAATACTTAAATGTTATGAGGTAAAAATTATAATATAATGTTTTTGCAAGATAGAAGGTGGCTGACTCCAGTTGTGGACTCAGCTTTTCTTTCAGATCCAAGGCCCTCTCATTTCTCATCTGGGCTTTTGTAATAGGCACTTACCTGCTTTCCTATCATGCTTTTTGTATTTATAGTGGAAGCCTGTCATCACAATGGCTTCCAGGCCTTATATTGCTCATCCGTATGCCTGTGTAGCTGTCCTCTTCCTGGATCCTTTTTTCTGCCTTAAATTTATCTTGGATACTCAGATAGCAATTTGCTGTCTCTGACTTGGTTATCCTTTTAAAAATATTCCTTCACTCCCCTTTCTTGCTTTCTTTATTCAATTAAAACAACTTCACTATTATTACCAGCATTCAGTAGCAACATTATCCTTGTCTAATATATATATATATATATATATATATATATATATATCCAATAGAAAAAAGATGCCTGTTGCCAGAAATATCTTTGCTATGTTTACAATACCTGTAAGATGGTAGGTTGTCAATACATATTTGAATTGTCTAGGTACAATCTATGAGATCCCAATCATTAGCAAGTAGGCTAGATTTCCCTGGATCTCCTTCAAGGGGAGAGGAACAAGATGGTTTATGTGGAGACTTTTCTCCTTGTAATTACTCATTTCCTGGGAATTATAGCCAAAGTATTTTGACTCAAGAGAATTGCTTTTTTCGGCTGCTGTTGCATTTATTTTATTCTTTGAGAATTTTGCACTATGTTTTTTTTATTATATTCACCCTCCTGCTCCTCTAAGCTCTCCCCCCTTTCCAACCCACCCAACTTTGTGACCTTTCTTTCCCCCATCAAATCCAATTTGTGCTGCCCATATATTCTTGGCTGTGTGGCCTTCCAGTGCAGTGTGATCGATTTACCAAGGGCAAAACTCTTAAAGAAAACTGACTTTTGTCTTCCAACAGCTGTCAATTGCCAATAGCTCCTTTGCCAGAGGTGGGACATCATGTCCACTCTTCCTTTCCATGCAGGGATTTAGTCTGGCTTGGGCTTGTACCAGGCTTGTGCATGGCATCACAATTGCTGAGCTCATACATGCAGCTGTCCTGTTGTATCCAGAGGACACTGTTTTCTTGCATTTGTTCACCACCTCTGGTCTTATAGTCTTTCCACCCTGTCTTTTACAATGATACTTGAGCCCTGGGGGGAGGAGGTGTGATATAAATATCCTATTTAGGGCTGGGCATTCTACAGTCTCTTGTTCTATACACCTTGATCAGTTGTGGGTCTCTGTGTTCATTTACATCTAATGCCAATAGATGCAAATCAGTTTCTCTGATAAGAATTGAGATATTCATTAGTCTATGGGTATAATAATGAGTCATTAGGAATTGGTTTAGTACTATGCCCATTGAGTAGAACAATAATAGTAGGTTTTTCCTTTGACTCTATGACCTGTCTAGTCACAGATTATTGGCCTGACAATGGTGCCAAGGTATGGGTTTTGTCTTGTAGAGTGGGACTGAAATCCAATTAGAAAGTGGTTGGTCACTCCATGATGTTCTTGCTACTATTACACTAGTAGGCTTGTCTTGCCAGACCAGACATTATTGTAGCTTCCAGGGTTCACAGTTAAGGTTAATGATTATTCTTCTCCATTGGCAGTGTGCAAAGTTAGCCGATAGGGATGAATACGTTCAGTGCCAGCTTGATATTTCATGCTCTGTGACTCAAATACATGGTGTCTTTAGCAATAGTCTTACCATCAAGTTACAGAAGTTGATCAATAGCACAATAGTCTGTAATATTTGGGGGGGCTCCATGGGCCCTCATTGGCCAACAATTCTTGGCACTTTAAAAAATATATTAGCCTATCATATCAAGTAGAATCATTGTCATACTGTTACAAGGTAGACTTTATCTGTCTATCTATCTATCTATCTATCTATCTATCTATCTATCTATCTATCTATCTATCTGTGTAAATTCCGTTAGAAAGCTTCTACAGTAGTAGGCTTCCATATGGCTTTTCAAAAGACTTTCAGTTGTCTCTACCCATATTCCTTCCTTTACCTTTCTCTTCCATCTCTTCTCCATTTAATCCTCCTTTCCCTATTTTATGTTTATAATACTATATTTTTCCTTCCTTGTAAGAGTCCCTTATCTTCCCTTGTCCCTTATTAGCTGTCCAACTAACATCTATATATCAGAGAAAACATGCAATATTTCTCCAAACTGATGGCAAGGTCCTATTGCTGAAGACAAAACTTAGGTCATCAAACATGGAGAAACTGAGCTGGCACCCAAGTAGTAGCTTCACTCCTACTGACTTATTAGTGTTTATGGTGTTGCAAGGTACTTTGCATTGCTCTGGTAGGAGGAGAAAAGTAATCATTGATAGCAAGTCACGATGATTGTTTCAAGCTCCATCAATTTATATGCAAATTTAATTTTCTTAACAGCTGAATAATATTCCATTATTCATTCATTTGTTGATGGACATCTTGGCTGTTTCCATTTCCAGTCTATTATGACTAGAGCAACAATGAACATAGATTAAACAAGTACCATTATAGTAGAATATAGAGTCTTTGGGGTATATGAACAAGAGTGGTATAGCTGGAACATGTGGTAGATCTACTTTTAGTTTCGTTGGGAATCTTCACACTGATTTCCATAGTGGCTACCCCAGTATGCACCCCCACCAGCCATAAATAAATGTTCCCCTTGCCTTAGGCCCATACCAGCATTTGTCATAATTTTGCTTTTTATCTTATCTATTCTGGAATGGGTAATCTCAAAGTAATTTTATTTTGCATTTCCTTGATGGCTTAGGATATTGAACATTAAAATATGTTTCTTAGTCATTTGTATTTCATCTTTTGCTAACTCTCTGATTAGTTCCATGCAACCATTTTTTGAGTTGGGTTGTTTTCTATGTTTTAATTTTTTGAGTTTGTATAATCTAGTCTCTATTAGATAGATGGTAAAGATTTTTCCCCATTCTGTAAGCTGCCTCTTCACTTGAATGATTGTGTCCTTTGCTGTACAAGACATTTTAGTTTCATGAGGTCCTATTTTCTGGCGGGTCTTTAAAAATTATTTATGTGTATGGATGTTTTGATTGCGTGTATGTATGTGTACCTTGTGCTAGAAGAGGCCAGAAGAAGGTGTTGAATCCTCCAGGACTGAAGCTACAGATAGTTGTGAGTTACTATGTGTGTGCTGGAAATGAATCCCGGTCCTTTGGAAGGGCAATCAGTGCTATTAACCTTTGAGCCACCTCCCCAGCTTCCAAACTGTTGGTCTTACTTCCTGTGCTATTGGAGTACTGACTAGAAAGTATTTCTGTGCCAATAAACTCAGGCATATTCCTTACTTTTTCCTCTGTTAGATTCAGGACCTCAGGTCTTATGTTGAGGTCCTTGATCCATTTGGAGTTCAGTTTTGTGACGTGTAAGAGATAAGGATCAAGTTTCATTCTTTTCCATGTAGTTATTTGATTTGACTAGCACCATACTTGATTAGCTCTAAAAACATGATTTTTAGGTTAGTGAAGCATCATCAAGCACACTGATCAAGTTAATGAAAATTTGAAATTAAGACATATAAAAGTATATTTGTATGACAGGGGAGATACCATGATCACCAAGGTAGCTTTCCCAGTGCTAGGCTTATCCACTACACACTATATGTGCTGACCACTGCAATTTCTCCAAATGTGGGAAACTCAAGTGCATAATTTGTGGTAGTGGGGGGAGAGTGTGAACACTGGGGAAAAAAGTGTACAAAAGTCCCAGGACATGGTGACTCACACCTGTAGTCTCATTATTGGAGGCTGAAGTAAGATTGCCTTGAGGTCAACCTGGGCTTCATTGTGAGTTATAGGTCAGCTTGGATTATAGAGTAAGACTTTGTATCAATAAAAAGAATAAAATAGAACAAAAGATGAGAAATAATTTCAAGAAAAAGTTTTATTGATTTTAATTAAAGCAATTTTATTTAATGTATTTATTTAAAGTGCTTTTAAATAGAAATATCTTCAAATGATATGGAATCAAAGAAGTAACTGAGTCCATCACCCCACTTCCCTTCAATTACTAACAGGCTCTACTACCATCCCATCAGTGATGATAGGCTAAATTTATTGTCTAATGGTGGATTATCCAGGCTTCCTTATCCTTTGTTTGCCTCTAGACTTTTGGAAAATTCTCAGCTTGTTATTTCTCACCGTGGTAATAAGTTGAAATTAAGGTAGTCAATGTTACAAGTTCTGGTAAATAGCTGGGTGGAGGGAAAAAACAATTACTGACTGGAAGGAAATTTAGAGTCCAAATGGATTGTAGTTGCACACATTTCATTAGCACACATAATTGATAGCAATGCTAATGCATTAAAATGATTATTTTTTAATGCCCAGCTTGCATTATTAGCACATGTGTATTTCATTAACATACATAAGCAAGAGCATTTATACATGTGGTAGCAAATGAGCTTTTAAAAGTCATTTTGTAGTTAGTGCATATTTGTAAGGCCCATCCACTAGTGTATGTAAATGTAAACACCTCTGTATGCTATAGTGACATCTTTAAGTAATTGGAAATTCAGTATAGAAGCTGTGTCCAGCCTTAAGACCAATCTCAGTTAAAAGGTTATACCTTTTAATAGCTGAATAGGCTGCCCCCTCAGTCATACCTCAGAGTAGAAAATTTATTATATAAGGTACAATCTCATTGGGTATGCAAGGTAAATAACCTCATTAAGAATGGAATGTGAGGGAGACACAGTACTATTCAAATAGGGCAAAAAGAGGCCAACAAGGTAGAACAAAGGCAGTTATGAAAGTCAACCACTGCTTTTATTTTGTGTTGAATAAAATAGATTGCCAGGGCTGCTACTTAAAATCGAGAAGATCCAAAGAAAGGGCCCTGGGCAGATTCATCCTTTTGTTCAAAGCAATGGATTAGAACATAGCCTGTTGGTCATGAATTAACTGAACAATCCCCAAAAGGTAGAAAATGCTTATTTTAACAAGTGTATCTTTAAAGGGCAGTGAAGAAAGACATCCTCTTAGGTATGTTTCCCCAAATTGTGGGCATCCCCGATAGATGACTTGATTACCATTTTAATGTTTCCCATGCCTTCTCTTATGCTAGAATTTCTAATTCTTTTTAAATTGTTTATTGAAAATCAAGTATTTTCATACAGTATATTCCAGTTACAATTTTTCTCCCATCATTTCATTCCAGATCTTTCCCACCTCTCCATTCTGCCAGCTCTATGCCTCCTTTTTCTTTTAAGAAAACAAATAGGCAAGTAAAAAAGACAAACAAACTAGAATAAAATGCAATGAACGATCTATGGAAAGAAAGGAAAAAAGAAAGGAAGACCTTGAGAAATGCACACACGCACCTAAACACACACACAAACACACACACACACACACACACACATTCAAAACCATAATATATAAGCAAAAGACCGCAAGGTTAAAAAAATGTCCAGACACAGTAATATGAGACAGAAAATCTCCCAAAATTCTTTGAGTTCATTTTGTGTTGTCCATTTACTTCTGGCATGGGGCTTGTGGTTAGTGTGGTTTTGTTGGAGAAGCTAAGTTTTCCTTTTGGAGTTGTTAGCTGGAGATGGCTGAGTTAGGGCTGGGAGCATGTGTCTACTTCCCCATCTCAGTGCTGGAGCCCTGTGTGGTTTAGACCTGTACAGGCCATGTGTATGCTGCCAGTTTCCATCATGTTCCTATGTTCATCAGTCCTGTTGTATCTGGAGGCCTTGTTTTCTTGGTATCATTCCCTGCAGCTCTTAGAATCTTTTGCTTCCTCCTTCCCAAAGTTCCTTGAGTCTTTAGAGGAGGGCTTTGACGAAGACATTCCAAGCAAGACTGAATGTTGCAGGGTTTCTCTCTGTGTGTACATTTTCTAGTTGTGAATCCCTGTGTTAAAATTACCATGTACTGAAGAAGAAAGCTTCTCTAATGATGACTGAGCGAGGCATTTATCTGTGAGTATAGTATGGCAGAATATTGTTAGGAGCCATATTATTCCTGTATTCCTTTAGGAGAACAATAATATTTGATTTTCCCCTAGGTCCATGGCCTATCTAGTTTCATATTCTTGGGCACCCAAGTAGTGTCAGGCCTGGGTTCCATCTCATGGAATGGACCATATCCAATTAGTAGTTGGTTGCACAGCTTTTGTGCCAACAATACAACAGTGTATTGTGCAGGCAGGTCACCATTGTAGACTGGAAAGTTTATAACAGCATTGCTAGCATGCAGAGTACTTTTCATAAACCATGGTAGAGTTGAAGGCACCGGCTTGACTTCTTTGTGTTCACTGAGACATAGGTGTTGTCTTCAGCAATAGGGTCTTATCATTAGTTTGTGGAGAGAAACCAATAGCTTTGGTAATAGTCTGAGTTGTTTGGAAGTTCCCATGGTTTATACTGGAATTTTAAAATGGAGAATGGTTCTTTTTATGGAGGTAACATGCAGTATTCTGTCACCAAATAGTATTCAATTTTATTGTCTTCTATAATAGCTATATCTATTGCTATGTACTCGTCATCCAAAAATTAAGTTAGAGCTGACATGTTGGCTCAGTGGCATTTGCCTCCAAGCTTGACAACCTGAATGGTATAGGTGTTTGCTAATCCCCAAAACCTGAGTTTGATCCCTGGGACCCACATGATAGAAAGAGAGAAGAAGTAATTCTCCAAAGTTGTTCTCCGACTTCCACATACAGCTTGTGGTGTGCACATGAATGCATGTGTGCACACAAACAAGTGTAAAAAATTAAATTGAATTGGAGCCTCTAGAATGAAACATTTCTATAATAGAAAAGCTATTTTAGTTGGACATTGGAGGTTATTTTATTTAGTCTTACATTTTCAGATTGTCAAAAAAAGAATGCACATAGGCCACTTAGATACCTTCTGTCTTCTAGAAATACTTTATCTGCATTTGGACAACTTTTCCAGTATATTCCATGTTTCCATGGTACTAATTAGCTTTTAGACAACTGCAAATAGGAGAAAGGGCCTAATACAATTCAGGGGGCATCTGTTTGTTATACACGGCAATTATTTCATCTAAAATCACAGATAGGGCAATGCAGCAAGTTTCACAACACAGAATTCAGGTCTAAACTACTACTAAGAGAAAGGTAGTCATGTGCTTAGTCTCAGAAGCACTTGTTTTGTGCTTTTATGTACCCTTCAGGTATTTCCCCTTGTTTCTATAAATCAGCCCCAAATTATCCCTTTAAACAGTCTATTCCTACCTATCTCCTTACTATGGTAATGTATTCATTTTTCTTCAAGATAAATATTATTTTTATAATATCTTTTAATCAGGGTGTTGGTTTTTGTGATAATATATTGCTAGGTTTATTTTTTGTTGATTTTTTTATTACAAATGCTTAAGCTTTGGGAGATCTATTTTTGACTCAATTTCCCCATTAAGTCAAGTGATACCATACATGTGAGCATTTCTTGAGCCATACATATATCCCAGGAGAATCTTCATCTTGTTTGTTTGATGAATGTTCTTGTGGCTGCTATGATTGGGTATCTGTAGGGCGTGTCCTAAGAAGCCAAGCTAAAAACAGAATCATCCAGAAAGAACCTAAGGTTTAGAGATTAATGGAATGTCCTCAAAATTTATTAAAACTTTTGTAACTTTAGTGGGCTTTAAATTTTTAAAAATTGGCTGCTCCACGTCCACCCAAACCCAGGGCAGAGGACAGAAGTGAGCACACTTGCCCTCTCTCAGATCCCCTTGCTTGGGTATTGCAGCCAGGTCAATCCCCCCACCCCATGGATGACCAAGAAACCAGGAGCCTGCAGAGAGAGCTACTCCACTTCCACCCAAAACCAGGGCAGAGGGCAGAGAGCAGAGGCCACAGAGTATTGGATTTACTTGCACCCATCAAAAGGGAACCCTGGTTGCCTACCCACCAGGAGAGGAAGAGACTCTTTCTACACCCACTGGAAGAAGTGATAGGAAAGAGGCAATATAAGAACACACCCAGCAACAGAAAAACAAATATGACACCACCAGAGTCTAGAGATTCTACACCAGTAAGACCTGAACACCTCAATGTGCATGAAGCAGAAGGTAATGACCTTAAAAACACCTTCATGAAAATGATATAGGCCCTCAAAGAGGATGTGAGAAAATGCCTTAAAGAAATGGAAGAAAAACCAAACCAAAAATTCCAAAAAATTGAAGAAAGGGAGCAAACAAGCAAAAATTACAAGAAACAATTCAATGCAAGGACTGAAAGCTGACATGGATACAATGAAAAAACACAGTCTGAAGGAATCCTGGAAATCGAAAAACTGGGGAAATGGACAGGTACTACAGATGCAAGCATAACCAACAGAATACAAGAGACAGGAGAGAGAATCTCAGGTGGTGAAGACACACTTGGAGAAATAGATTCATCAATCAAAGAAAATCTGAAGTCCAAGAAATCCCTAACATAAAATATCCGGGAAATATGGGACACTGTGAAAAGGCCAAACCTAAGAGTAATAGGTATAGAAGAGGGTGAAGAAACCCAACTCAAAGGGACAGACAACATATTCAACAAAATCATAGAAGAAAACTTTCCCAACCCAAAGAAAGACATGCCAATGAAGGTACAAGAAGCTTACAGAACACCAAATAGAGTGGATCACAAAAAAGTCCCCTCTCCACATAATAATCAAGACCCCAAGAATACAAAATAATAAAAGAATACTTAGAGCAGCTAAA